TCCACTGAGCGCTCAACACAGACAGCATCGTCAGAAGAAAGGTTGATTAAATAAATAAAAAATGTTGTATTGTTTGATACATATGCGTACCGAACCGAAAGCACTGTATCGAACGGTTCAATATCGATACGAGTATTGTTGCACCCCTAATAATTACTCTGGTAATTACTGAGATGATGGTTATTTAAAAATAATTATGCTTAGACTTTGAAAAAACTGTACATATTTTTTCTACTTCTTCTTTTAAAATTGGATTTTAATTATAACTTCATTTGTTTTATATAGATTATCTTGTTTTAATAATCACTGCAAGCCACAACTGTAGCTGAAATTAAAATTAGACGAATGCCTTTATTTTACATGAACTTAGCAAAAGCCTGAACAGCTGTGACATTACTAAGATGACACTCAGTTTGTAAAACAGAAGAAAGCATGATGGAGGAAAAAGGTTTCAAAGACGCAAAGAAATGGATGGATTTTAATTCTGCCTCAAAAACATCACCCTGTTGGATTTTTCTGTATGTCAGTATGGATAGTAAGCATGTCTAGGCTGCATATATTTAAGTCTTACTTAGCAAAAGGCATGCTCTATGTGTTTTCCTGTTATTTTATTTTTTATGTCAAATGAAATTGTTGAAACATATTTTTCTCACAGGCTTGGTGAGTTTTCTGTGGCGGAAGGACAAAATACTTTATACGCAGGAAAAACCCAGCAAGTGGTATCTGATGTATGCTGATAATGAAATAATGTAATGTACAATAGAAAAAAGGTCAAATGTAAAAACCTTTTGACTGGGGTGAGATGCTGCATCAGCTAATTCAATAGAAATCTCTTTTCTTGAGCAGAGTTTTTGGTCATTAAAAACTTTTCCACTATAAATAACTGTTCCTGCACCCAAGTCCATAGGTTTGCCTTCTTGTGGTTCCCAATTCCCAGGAGAAGAGTGGGAGTTTGGTGTTATGTGGATTGAGTGGTGGTCAGCCTAACGGTGCAATCTTCAGGTACAAAAAGTGAAGACAGATCATTTTATTTTCTTGGCCAGTCCTGCAGGTAAGATCTGTGTGTGGGAAGCACTAAAGTACAACCATGACACGTCCATATCATCAGATACTGAAATCATAGTCAGAACAGTTTCAGCCAAGTACTTTACAACCAATCTGCCACTACAATAAAGGCAACAGTCCAATTTACACATAAAACTGCCACTGGACTTACCAGAACAGGTTGCCTGTCTCTCACATACCTGACACATTCTAAAATTATCGTAAAATTATGAAAACGAGGTTCATTTGTTTCCCAATTAACTGATGAGTATAGATAATGTGAGAAAACAGTGAAAATGTCCATCACAGTTTAATCACAGCCTGGGGTGATTTGTCTAGCCTGCAGCTTGACACCCAAAGCAGTTTAGAGTGATATAAGCGATCAATCAACTAATCTGTTCAGTTCTAGTTCGATCAGATGTAGGCCACCTTGCCTGAAACAGCGCCTATTTAACCTCATAATTTAGTTATCCAAAAATACAGCATTAACCTTCAGCGGCAAAAATCAGTGATGCTGCTGTTAAGGTTTAGCAACAAATAACATCAAGATGCACCAACATAGGTGTGGCAGGACCACTTCATTTGAACCACTTAATGAGAAATCTAAATAATCCTGTAAACTGTACGAGATTGTCTAATACGACCATTGTTATACATGGAAATAGCATTGATCTATCCACTGAAGACATTCAATGAACATGTTTTGTTAGTTTAGTCACCTAATTCACTGACTTGCAACTAATTTGATTACCAAATGACTGTAAAAAGGTACCCGCATAACATCTATTCCATAGACACAGAGTAGTGCTACCAGATGGCCATTTTTAAAAATATCATCATTACTTTTAAGACACTTATGTATAACCAGGCGTGAATCCTGTCTCATCTGTTGTATGGTGAATTGAAGGGGTCCTTGTAGACCCTATGATGTGAACACAGGGGTGTCCTTAGGAGTTTTTCCTGGTGTTCTTATGCTCATCTTGAATTATAACATTTTTTGTCACATTTTCTTCTACTCAATTAAGATTAATATAAAACAATATTTTCATCAACTTCCCAAAACATTTTGACATTGAATAACCACTGGCTGTCCATCTTTTCTTGATGTCTAGTCTTGAAAACACGCCATAAATTCAACTCAAACTCTTGACCTCTCTCTTGACCATTCATCCATTTTCTTCTGCTTATCCAATTCAGGGATGCGGGGAGGGCTAGAGTCCATCACAAGAAGGGCAAGAAGATGGGTACTTCCTGGACCCTGCCTCCAGGCTGACACTGAGACAGACAACTATTCATGCTACCATTCATTTAACACCTACAAACAATTTAGAATCGCCAGTTAAATTACATGCATGGGTTTAGGTTAACTGTGGGTTAGCTTAGCTTTTTGACCATGTTTGGTGGGTTTCCAAACAGGGATGTCCAGATGATGTTGATAAGATAACACGCAAGAGATGGCAAAATTTTGTCTTCAACTTTCATTCTGGAACCACATATCAACCAAGACACCAACATAAAACAGTGGTTCAACATAAACTTTTCTAACATCTAACAAAGACACCCAGGCGAGAAAAAGTAAGTCTCCAACATTGGCACAACCTTTATTTTGGAGCCATACTTGATCCAAGGCTAGATGTTGACTAGAAAAGACAGCCAGTAGGCAGTTTGGCAGTGTCAAAAGGTCAGGAGTTTCCCTCATAGTATTTTTTTTTTTTAAATTCTTTATGTTGTTGTAGTCCATAAATAAAAGATAATATACAATAGTTCCTTATCAGAGACTTCATTTGTTAGAAAGTCCAACCAGAACATCTAGGTGATAAGGAGGTATGTCCAACAGACGACCCTTGCTCAACTGTCATTTTCAAAACCTTGTTTAAACAAAAGCGAGACCTTGGAAAAGAGGCTCAATGCATTTGCCTGACAAGAAAATGATCCCTTCTCTAGCCCTAGGGGGGAGACACAAAACCTTTCAAGGTTGCCAGGAAGAGCATCTGGTGTCAAAATATGCCAAACCAAATAGGCAGTGCTACCTGCTGGGCTTGTGAATGGAAGACTAGTTAAAATCTTTAACCAGACTTGAGAGACAACGGTTATTCAAATTTGAAATGTTTGCTTGGTGTTATCATAATGGTTGGAAGCCACATAATCATATTTCATTCCAAACTTCGATAAACTGTACAGACTTCGGTGGAATACAAAAAAAATAGCCATTTTCCCTTTAGAATCAAGCAAACAGCAAAGTCATTGCTGCCATACCTATAATTCAACCCTTTTCAACAAAGAGTCTTCAAAGTTTCCCTTTCTACTAATTTCATTTTGCAAAAAGCCTCTATGTTCCGTTAATTTGCAGCAGCAGAAATCAGAAGGAGCAATGCCCTCTTTTGGAGGTCACAAGCTGAGGAGGAGTCACCTCATGAGCCAAGATGCGGGATCCCCCCTCCTTTCTAACGCAATAAGGCAGGACACACCCAGCTACAGAGGGGAGGAGGAGGAGAAGGTGGAGATGGATGAAATGAGAAGAGAGGAAAAAGAAGCAGAACTGCTGCTGCTCCTCCTCATCCGCCCATCTTAGCCGATGACGTAAGGACGGTCCTTCGTTAATTAAAATAAAGCGCAGTCGGTAACGATTTTTCCACCCTTGTTCAATACCGGCAGCCTTGAAAACGCAGAAGTAGTATTTACAGTGCGAGTGCTAAATATGGGGGAACCACTCCAACAAGCTTAACAAGCTCATCCTGAAGGCGCCACATTCGTGTCAACAGTGTGAGGACACCACACTGATACAGAAATATACACAATTAATATCACAACAGGGACAAACAACCGCAGCAACCAACGCTCGCTGCTCAGAGAGCTGTTTTTAACCAACTTACCACAGGTCCTGTGTTTTTTCTGATGGTAAAAGGCGCCTTTTCCGGTTACCACTGGAAATATCACTCGGAAAGCAACACACTCAAGCCAGAGACTGTTAACAAATTGTTTCCAGGCGCCCGGAGACATCCGCGGGCGGTCTGATTCCTGCCTCGCAGCCAATGCACCATCAGATACGTGCCTCGCTGTCGCCCGGGGAGACCTGGCACCAGAGCGCCATTAAGAATCTGCTCTTTTTGATCTACATCTCCTTGTTGGTTTGTGAAAACGCAATTTTGTAGCCATTAATAAAAATTTACGGACCTTTTAGAAACAACCCTTCAATTCGGCATACCCCAATGACACGTAAAAATGTAATATTCAGAATAAAATAACAACTTTTACCAGCAGGCTCCTTAGTTTGGCAGGCGGCAAACTAACTAGCAGTGCGTATCCAGTTCAAAAGTTGTTTTTTTCACCAAAAGTGAGTCATCGTCTGTAAATTTTACAGGTGTCTGATTAGAAACCATTGCACAATATCACAGTGTATACTTTATGGGTATTTTAGTTTGTCGAAAAGCGTTTTAAGTTGGATTTTAAAGTCCGCATTATGAATGAAGACCCGACAGCGTTGACTGCAGAGAGGGAACGGCACGTATCGGGGCTGTAACCTAGCTAACAGCCGGGACGTTTGGCGAGGTGAAAGAGACAGAAACCGTACCTCGGGATTTCTGAGAGACACTGTTGCTATTAGGGAGGAAAATACGCCAAGATGCGTGTTACAGTGCGTCGGACTGGGATAGTTGTGCGTTCACACCTGTGGAAAATCCCAAAAATCTGCCTGTAGTCGCTAATAAGTGGGAGTCAAGGTAAAGAAACGGCAGTTATGAACGTTACCCGGATGCTGAGCAGTGCGGACAACTGGGGGGTGGGTGGGGGGAGAATACGACAGACTCCTTAAAAACAGCAAAATGTCACTTTCACGGTCTCCGACAGACTAAGCGAGCCTTTCTTGCATTTCAGCCACAAGTGAATTGAAAGATTGCGCAGACTCGTGGTGAGTTAAGTTTAATTAAAAAACAAAAAACACTGAGAATAGACGTTACCTTCACTCCGTGGATCTTCGTCCAAATCACGTCCTGTGGCTGAGTCGGAACGGTTGGGAAGCGTCTTTAGTTTAGAGGGGTTTGTCCATTTCCCAGCAGAGCTCCAACTTGAAAACTGCAGTGGCGAAAAAAATGACTGACAGGCCGGGTGGTGGTTGGTGGATAAAACCTTGAACCGTTCCTGACGTTTAAACCGTTTTTAAATACATCAGTAGGGGCACCAGCTCTGTTCCTGCAGTGGTGGCGGCAGCCCCGAGCAAGGAAAACAAACCAGATCCAGATTCAGTCAGAAACGAATCCTTTAAAAGGAGAAGATAAACTCACCCTCTCTCCCTCTCTTTTTTTCTCGCTCACTCACTCTCTCCCTCTCCTGGAATAAAAGCAGAGGAGGGAAAAGGCTCTGTTAACAAAGAGCAGATCCGGAAAATGAGGACTGGTGGTGTGTTTGTGTTGCTTAGCGGTGGGTGGAACTGGAGGGGGGGTTCCAGCACACTCAACCAGACCAGAGGAAACACCAAAAGTCCGGATCAGATCTTTTCCTGCCAAGCTGGGAAACTGAAAGAGAAGGAGGTGAGCTTGTGGTGGCGAGCAGGGGGGAGGGACCAGACCGGGATTGCCCTGTTTTTAAGGTGGATCTATGAATTAATTAGGTAACGAGGCAGAAACAGAGCCCTGCTCTCGAGAACAGCCCCGGGCCACAGATGCAGTCTGGAAACTCAAGGGGGGGGATCCAGATCTGGATCCATCCCGGAGCGAAGTATGGAGTCTCTTTTCAGCCAAACAAATCAAAGCATAAGACCTTGACTAATTTGTTATTATATACTATCATTATTTTGATTTTTTTTTAAATATCATAGATTTGACAACGACAATACTTTTGTAGCCAGTTATCTTAACCCAAACGTTTTAGTACGTTTAGAAAAACTGTTGTCAGACTAATTTTGAGATAAAGTTTTAAAGATTAAAGCCATAGTTACTTCACGTTTTCAGAAAACCCTGCCCTGATTCAAGAAAAAGTCCAATTTTTACCAAAAAGTCCATTTTGCTAATATATATATATATATATATAATAGCTACTAAACAGTAATAATTTGAATAAAAAAATAATAAAGCCAAAATATGAATTTCTTTTCTTTTTTTAGAAGAAGTATAGTTTGAGGCAAAAGCCACGATAAAAGTCATATTAAATAATCACTATACTGGTGTGCATTTGAAGCCATCATATCAATTCCAAAATAATTCAAGACTAAAGTTTCAGGATAAAAATCAGAATATTTTTAAGTTTCCTCTTTTTTTGTATTTGCTTATTTTGTCACAAAGGTTGGGGGAAATTAATGGAAAACACCAGTTGTAATGTAAAACTTTTTTTTATTTTTTTGAAAATTCTAGATTAAATCTGAGATCTTATTATTAATTAATAAAATTGTAATATTTTTACTTTAAAAAGTGTTTTAAAGGTAAAGTACAATTCAAAGATGAAAATCATATTTTTTCATATAAAATTATAAAAGTGATTGATATAATCTGATAAAATTTATTTTAACATTTACCCATTATGCCCACCAACTGACTGGCAGCCTGTCCAGAGTGTATCCAGCCTCTTCCTCAGTGACAGCTGGGATAGGCTCCAGCCCTCCCGTGATGTTAAACTGGATGTTTTCTGTATTTTCTTTAGCTAGGCATTGAATGGTATTTGCCATTTACCATTTATGGAAATATTTAAAAACTTATTTAAGTGTTTCTTCTTCAGTCACCTTTTCCACATTGCATTTAATCATTATTTATTATTAATCTCTGGCTATCTTCCACAGCTAGTCTTTATCCTGTCTATCCTGTCACTCTCGATCAGTGTTTCCCAACCTTTTGGAGCCATTTCACGTTAGAAAAAATTACACGGCACACCACCAAACAAAAATGTCACAAAAAGCATATTGATAATTTTTCCCCATGCACCAGGTAAAGCAAAATTGGCTCGGTTTGTCCACAACAGAAATGGGCAGTAGCGCATTACAAGTAACACATTACTGTAATCCGATTACTTTTTTCAAGTAATGAGTAATGTAAGGGATTACTATTGCAAAAAAAGACATTAGATTACTTTTACTTTCCTGTAAGCACGCTGTGTTACTGCGTTACTAAACTGTCATGATTTTGTTTGTGAGAGTGTCTCATGACAATGACGTTAAAAAAAATTAAAATATTAAAACTAATAAAACAATTTTTAGAAAAAGGCTTTCCATTTGATTCAATTTTGTATGATGGATTATGCATAAAAAATAGAATTGGGCTGAAAGGTCTATTGCTTTTTTATGTATTCAGGTTGTGTATCATGTTTTTGAAAAGTAACTAATTACGTTTGAAAATAAGTAAACAGTAAAGTAACGTGATAAATTTTTTCAATAAAGGAAAAACATTAGTAACTAATTACTTTTTTCAAGTAACTTGACCAACACTGGTCCACAATATATATTTATCACAGCACACCTGATCATTTCACACACAGTGGTTGGGAAGCACTGCATTAGATGACTGCTCTGAGCCTTGTTCTTCTGGAGGTTTCTTCCTGTTTTTTTTTTTCCTGTTAAAAGGGAGTTTTTCCTTTCCACTCTCACCAAAACACTTGCTCATAGGAGATGATCTGATTGTTGAGGTTTTCTGTTTTCTGTTTATTATTATTGTAGGGTTTTAACTTGTAACGTGTAAAGGACTTTCTTGAGGAAACTGTTATTGTGATTTGGTACTATATAAATAAAACTGAAGTGAATTGAACCACAGTTATCAGATTACATCATATTGTGTCCATCTGTTGGACACACCCAAGAGTCTAAACAACGCCACCCTTGTAACCATGATCTAACCACTGTGCTGAAGACAAAGAAGATCCATGAGAAAATACTTTAAAACTTTTCTCAGGACATTTATTTTAACATCAATTAAGTTTCATAACTTCTTCACCCTGACAAGAATAAGCAGAAGAGAATAGATAGATAAAAGTGTTACATTAAGTTCCTGAGTTTTGTTGCCTTGAAGTAAATACAAACAATAAGAAAGTGGATGCTGCAACACATTAGCAACCTGTCCATCTCTCAACCCATGACTGTGATAGCCCTCCTGTGACCTTGAACTGGACAAGTGGGTAGATGGATGGTACTTTTTATTATTATGAATATTTTTTTTAAGTAAAATTAAAGATTAAAACATGACAAAGATACCTCCTTGGTGAGGTGTTTTGGGTATGACCATCTTGGAAGAGGGAGGTCTGGACATCTGCCCCTGAGACCCAGACCCAGACATAGTACAGGTACAAGATGAATTGGTGAATAAAATAAAAATTTATGGAGAAAAGTTAGAAAAAGCCAATATTATTGAGTAGTAGTTATATTTTTTTCCTCAGATTTATTTGGGAACTTCCAAGAGGAGTCTTGACCCTCTGGTTGGGCACTTCTTTTGATTTATGTTCAGTTAAAAGACATTAAATTGAATCTGTCTTGAATTTAATTGAATCTCCAACAATCAACAAAGGGTCTGCTTGAAATAGCAGTCTACTGAATTGTTCTTGTGTCATCTATTCCTTTATTATGGGGGTTTGGTTGGGTTTCCTTCTCTTTGTTGTGTTTAGTTCTGGGTAAAATCTATTCAAGTTCTTCCCTGAAAATGATTTATTTAAGCCTCCAAGCTCCTGTGCACATCTGTTTAATATGGAGATATGAAAAAAACAGAGACCACATCATTATAAATCAGAGGTGGAGGTGGATGTTGATGAGATGGTGATTTATTTATTTATTTTACTCGTGCAAATGCAGAACTTGAACAAAGATTCTGAAAAGAAATTTCTCTCTGACTGCCAACTGGCCACTCAATCAGCTCTTCCTCCTACGCTATGCTAATGACAGAGAGGCAGAGAGGTGGTTAAAGCTGCCATTTAACAGCACATTACACTGCCTCACTTTAGATAAAAAAAACTGACTGCAGATGAAAGAGAGCTGCAGAAATGTTCAAAGTCCTCATCAGTCGATATCTCATCCTTACTGTGTGCATTTGTGAGACGTTGGTTTTATTAGTCTCAATTTACACTTGAAACACCGTATAACCTTTGCACTACACTGTTTCCTTCCAGTTATTGTTGGAGATGTCAATATAATGTATTTTAAAACTGAGCAAATAAGTTGTACATTCAAGTAAGCATTTTTCAAATAGCATATTTACAAGGAAACTGTTTTTTTCTTTTTTTTATTTGAATTTTTGAATTTGTCTGACTTATATTTTGTATTGTTTTATGTTCCACCTTCAAGGCAAAAGATCATTGCAAGTTGTTAGTCTCTTTGTCAGCAAGATTATATGAATGACTACCAAGCAGATATTTCATCAAACTTGGTGTAGAGGGGATAAAGGAGCATTTTGGTGCAGATCCAGATGAGTTTCTTTTAAATATTTGAATAAAAATGGATTCCATTGGTTAACAGAACATTTAACATTATGTGCATATTTAAACCATCCATCCATCCATCCAGTTCTTTTAACATTAAATCTTAATGACATAAATTCACAAACATTTCACTTAGAGGACCCACTTTGTTTTAATTCCAGTGGTTAGGGGGTCAAGACTACAAGGGTGGGGTTATAAAGACTTTTGGGTGGGTGTGTCTAATTGACAGGATATGATATAATGTGATTGTTAGTATAGTCAGGAAAAGCACATTGTAAAAAATGGAAAACAGCCTGGTTTTGTTTTTTCCAAGAAGTTTATGAGCATACCATTTAGTAATATTTGACTTCAATAATCTGTGGAAAAATATAGGAAGACATCTAATAATATTATGACATTATGTATTCATTCTAACATAAATAATAAGCTTATTATGTCAATTAGTAATTAGGCATTGATCTTGAATGTTGATTTGGTGGTCTGTAGAAACAAGCTGTAAACTAACACATGCCACATCTTACAGTTTCAGAGATTTCTTTGTGTTTCATGTCAACAAGAATTGAAAAGGCCATTCGCAGCGTTGGTATAACAGGCGTCCAGACTGGAAGCAACTAGCAGCAACTAGTGTCATCTGGCTCACCACAGACAGATGAATGAACTGCTGGTGAGCAGTAGCTATTACAGAGTCTGTTTGAGGCACAAAAATTCACAAGGAGTCCTCCAACCAGATTCATCACCATTATGTTAAAAATATTATAATGAATTAATAATAATACCAGTTTAATATTTCTTTTATGTTGGCTGAAGTAAAATGACATGTAACATGTAACATGGCATAACATGGCATATCATTTTACAAGGATTCTTTAGAATGCAATGCATGTACAGTATAATAAAAAAGTAAAAGCAAAATTCTGAACTTAACATTATCAGCATTTGGAGGGGGTCACCTTATCCTTCTATTCTGGTGTTGATGCCAGAAACAATTTGGGGAAAAGATAGCGTGATATAGTATAAGACACTCAAAACAGTTAATAGCATCACATTACAAAGCTTTAACATGGCAGATATGGAATATACAATAAAATGCACACACCACAATGCACATATAGCACAATAATATGCACCAATAATGG